ATGGGGTAGCCGGTGCTCGTGTACAATCAGAACCCCTTCTACAGTCCTTCTCATCCCAATTTTATCAAATTCCTCCCGCATGCGCTGAAATCTGGCCGCAACAGAGCTGTCCTTCTCGTAGAGGGGTTCCTTTGTACCAAAGGTATAATTGGTAAGCGGGTACCTGTGAACCAAAGACAAGCATTTAGCATGAGAACAAATGGTCTCATTTACCAGGACAGTTCAAAACAATTGGCCCAAGGCTTCCTAACCAGCTACGAGACAGCAAAGATCAGAATACTACAGCTGTCTGGACTCTTGAAGCCAGAACTTCCACAAGTCAAACACAGACAGCGCTGTCCTAAGGTTCCTGAAATGCTTATTGAAGTGGATGTCCATACTGGTTTACGATTATTTCATGACACTAATACCAAATGACCAACCTGGTTCTTCTAATTAACCTAGTTATAATTTCTTTTAACTAACTGGCACTAACAGCTAATTTCTTTTCTCATATATGCTGAGCTACCACTGTCTAGCAATATCTCTCTTGCTTTCTTTTTTTTCTTTTTTTTGGTTTTTCGAGACAGGGTTTCTCTGTGTAGCTTTGCGCCTTTTCCTGAAACTCACTTGGTAGCCCAGGCTGGCCTCGAACTCACAGAGATCCGCCTGGCTCTGCCTCCCGAGTGCTGGGATTAAAGGCGTGCGCCACCACCACCCGGCTAAAAATGTGTATCCAGGCTGACCTCGAACTCATGATCCTCCTGCCTCTGCCTCCTTCAGCAAATCCTACTGGTGTGCGCCACCACAACCGGCTTGCTTTCTTAATTTAAAAAAAATGTGGTTTTGTACACGTATACATATGGTGTTCTATGACACATGTACAGAGTTCAGAGGATAACTTGTGGGTTCTGGGGATTCAACTCACACCATCAGTCTTGGTAGTAAGCACCTTACCTGAAGAATCACCTCACTGGTCCCTCTCCAATTATTTTGTTTCTCCCAGGAAGCAATAATCAGATTTTTTTCTAGTTCCTTTACAGATCAACTTTTCTTCTTCTGGCTTGCTTGTTTTTTGAAACAGAGTTGGCCTGGAACTCACTTGGTAGACCAGGCCGGGCTTGACCACAGATACCAGCCTGCCCTTCCCTCCCAAGTGCTGGGATACACCACCACAGTGGCTTAGACCTGTTCTTTTTCCCTCTGAGCCTACTTAAGACTTCTCCATTTACCCTACCAATATGCTTACTCTTCCCACCCACAGCTAAGTTGAATACCCTCTTTTCCCTATTTCAAAAGATGATTTAAAGTGTTAAAAACTTCATCTTGCTTAGTAAAGAACAAATTTTCCTTAAAGTTTAAAATCCACATTTATTTTATCACACATTCTACCTTGCTGCCCTTTGATTACAGTTTTTTTTTCAGAAAGAATGTTTTGATTGAACATGGATAATCCCAAAGTATCTCATCTATCAAAAAAAAAGTGCTTATCAAGCATGAGGACCTCAAGTCAATCCCCAGAACCCACCCAAAACAGACAAAACCCAACCAGCACCAAATAAACCAAATCTGAGCATGGTAGCCCCACAAGATCCCATGGCAGATCCCATGAGAGAGATCCTATTCTCAAACAAGGTGGAAAGTAAGAACTGACACCTGAGACTGTCCTGACTTCCACACGTGTGCTGGGGCACAGGCACACCCATACAGTCACAAATACTGCAAACACACACACACACACACACACACACACACACACACACACACACACACACACACCCCACATACACACAAGTGCACACATCTGCATGAATGCATATAGCATACATATGCAACATAGACAAAACTCTTGATATTAATAAGACAACTACATACTCTCTGCAGTTGTTCTTGAGAAGGGAAATCAAGGTAACCAAAAGAAAAAGATTAATTCCAAAAGTCAAATTCTAAGCATAAACAAAGTAACTCTAAAATAATGAAAATATACCATTTTCAGGGGTCTTTAAAGATTACATATAGTTTTGCAGTAGATCTAATAACCATCATTATTAGGGAAAAGTTACTACATGTAGCTTTGTGCACTACACAATGCTTTACATGTGTTAACATTTGGTTTTCCACCTGCATTAGAAAGAATTAAGCCAGGTGGTGGTGGCACACACCTTTAATCCCAGCACTCGGGAGGCAGAGCCAGGCGGATCTCTGTAAGTTCGAGGCCAGCCTGGCCTTCCAAGTGAGTTCCAGGAAAGGCACAAAGCTGCCCAGAGAAACCCTGTCTCAAAAAACCAAAAGAAAAAGAAAAAAGAAAGAATTAAGACCAACTACAATACATTTCTGTTGCAAGGGCTATCTCCTACATCACAAGATATCAGCGGAAGGAAACGTTAGCATTTCGAAGGCTGTGAAATCTGAGCACTAGCCGACACAGAGCATATTCTCCACATCATACTGTGGGCATTTCAAAGCACAGTACACATCTGAACACCTAGCCATGTGTATGCACACTGTGTTACAAAAGCACCCAACCAGGTTTCCCTAAATGGAAACATACTGCAGAAACAAAGATTTACCATTTAATAGATAGTTCACCCTCGAGAACTCAAGTTCACAGCAATTTATTTCTCAACACTGCATTTACACAGGAAGTGAAAAGTAACATGATCACCTATAAAACATCTCTGAAAACACATCTATTTCAACAATTCTACACACAGTCGCCTGATGTACACTGATCCAGGAATCAAGAAAAGTATATATACTTTTGGAGGTGCTTGGAGATGAATCTGGGGTCTGTGCACACTAGGCAAACTCTCTACCAGTTGGCAAAACCCTCCCATGCTCGTTCATTTTTTTAAAGAGCACTTGCCTTCTCCACTTCACAGGAATCGTTTGTTTTTCGAGACAGGGTTTCTCTATAGCTTTGGAGCCTGTCCTGGAACTCACCCTGTAGACCAGGCTGGTCTTGAACTCACAAAGATCTGCCTGCCTCTGCCTCCCGAGTGCTTGGATTAAAGGTGTGCGCCACCACCCGCCCAGCTCACAGGAATCTTTTTTTTGGTTTTTTTTTTGAGACAGGGTTTCTCTGTGTAGCTTTGCGCTGTTTCTGGATCTTGCTCTGTAGACCAGGCTGGCCTTGAACTCAGAGATCCTCCTACCTCTGCCTCCCGAGTGCTGGGATTAAAGGGGTGAGCCACCACCACTGGCTGACTCATAGGAATCTTATAAGCATTTATGTGACAGGAAATTGAAGTGCTACTATGTATTTTGGTACAAAAGTTAATTTGCATAGACACAACTATCAGCTATTTCCAGATTTTTATTTTTTATTTTTTGGTTTTTTAAGACAGGGTTTCTCTGTGTAGCTTTGCGCCCTTCCTGGGACTCATTTGGTAGCCCAAGCTGGCCTCGAACTCACAGAGATCCACCTGCCTCTGCCTCCCAAGTGCTGAGATTAAAGGCGTGCGCCACCACCGCCTGGCTATTTCCAGATTTTATAAACCTCATATTTTGTTACCAAGACAAAACTAGTTTTGCCAAAAACAATAACAGTAATCTTTCTTTTTTCTCTTTCCCTTTTTTTTTTGGTTTTTCGAAATAGGGTTTCTCTGTGAAACAGTCCTGGCTGTCCTCCAACTCACTCCTTAGACCAGGCTGGCCTCAAACTCACTGAGATACAGCATGCGCCACCACCGCCAAGCAGTAATCTTTTCAATTTCATATGTCACATTTGATTTTAGAAGTAAAAGTTCATTTATTTGAATATGAAAGTGAGAAACACTACGATGACTTACCTAAACACCACTACCAGCAAAGTCTTGCACTTTTTAAACAAACAACCAGCCTAAACTGGCCACTTTCTTCCATTAGAATCAGCTCCACACTGGGCAGTGGGATGCCAAATACTGAGTAAGCTATATCCCAATCTCAATTTCTTGCTACAGCAAAACTTGGTTTGAGAGAGAACTCGAAAAGCAATGATTTGCTTAAGAGAAAGGTGTGTTGAAAACCAAACCAGCCCACAAATAGGCTCTCTGGGCAACACGAAAGAACACCAGACAGAGTGTGTACTCTCAATCTAGGTCTACTGCGTGCCTGCGATGATAATGTCACTTCGGTAGACAAGACATGCGAATGCAAGAGATAGACCGGACAGCACGAAAATGAATAAAATGTGGTCACTTGATGGAATACTACACAACATTTAAAGAAAAAAACCTAGGCCGTTAGAGGTAAATCTGGAAAACTTACTGTAAAAGAAATGTACACTCTACAAAAATTATAGTTATTCATTCAAATAAAAACAAATACATGTGCAATGAAAACACCAACAATGGATTGAAAGAACATACACATTATGATTAATTCAAAGCAAACGTGGCTTTTAACCATGACTGAATAAAGGGAAAGGGGAAAAAGTCTCTCCTCAAACACAGGAAAACTGCCAAATCGGGGGCAGGAAAGAGGTCTGGGAGAGAAGAAAGCGCGCATCGCGGAAGGGCCACCCCGCATCCGGGGTGAGGGAGGGCGCTCGGGAGGGGTTTGCCCGCCGGGGCCTCGCCGAACTTACAGGTTAATGGTGCGCTCCAGGGTGAGGGGCTTGGTCTGCTGGATGTACTTGTTGCCGAACTGGTTGACCCCTCGGGGCCAGCCCGTCTGCGAGCGATTCGGCGGCACCACAGACATGCTGAACAGCTCCGACACTGGCGACGTGCAGGAAGCGGGGGCCAGGGAAGACGTCCGCGGGGCGGACAGCGGTTATCTGCGTCCCGCTCAGCACCCGCCGCCCGCCATTAACAGTCGAGAGCAAGAGGAGGCGAATGCACATCGGAAGTGAATGGCTCTGGCGGCAGGAAGTAGAGAGGCATTCCTCCGCGACCATTCGGCCAATTGCTAGCAAGATGGCGCAGTATGTTGATCTTTCATTGGTTAATTTTGTATAGGTCCAGCCTCTTTATTTTTTGGTGCCTTCCCACTGGGTGATGCTGGGACTAAGGACTGGGGCATTTTGGGAACTGTAGTTTCTGGAGGGAAATAGCGTCCTGACTTCCTTGGCGTGTGTCTGTGCTTGGTGAGGAGATGAACGGGAAGCGGCCCGCCGATCCGGGCCCGGCGCGGCCAGTGAAGAAGGGAAAGAAGCAGGTAGCGGCGGAATTTTCGGACGCTGTCACGGAAGAAACCGTGAGGAAGCAGGTGGCTGAGGCCTGGAGCCGCCGGACACCATTCAGCCATGGTAATGAGGTGCTGTGAGGGAGGAGCGGCCGCGAGAGGAGGCGTGGGAAGGACCTTAGCCACCTCCGACTCTAGCTGCTCGGTTCTTTCCAAATTCTGCTTGATTTGACAAGCCTGGGGAGGAAAATAAATATAGACCCGGGAGTATGGGCAAGTAGGAGACATGTAAACTGAGGATTGAATTCTAGAATCAGAATCCCTCTGCTGATGATACGTCACTGGGCAATGTATTTAACTTTGCTTAAGCGTCAGTTTCTTTTATAAAACGGAATCGTTAATAGTATTCCCCTCGGAAAGGTAGGATTGACAAACTAATGCTTGTAGGCATTCATAAATGTTTCCCAGAGAACCAGTAAACATCTAGCAAATGTCGCATGACCAGTACAGATGTTGAGAGCTGCCAGATAGCTGGTACCTGAAGCTACCACTCTCAGGTGCCTTGTCGCTGGACTACGTGACGCATGAAACGAAAAATCTTGAAAGGAACCATCGTTCCAGACTTAGCTACAAGCTATTACCTTATACAATGTGAATCTGGTGGAAGTGAAATGAATTAGAAGGTTAGAAGCCAACCGAGTATATATATATATATACACACACACATACATATTTAAATGCAGTCACTCCCTCCCCACAGAAAACTTGGGGAAAATAAGGGTAGGATTAAAGAGAAAATGGCCAGCCAGTTTTGCTACTCTCATTTAATTTGCTATTCTTGATTTACTTTCTTCCGGAGAAAATGAGTTAATCTAAAATGCATTGATGCAAGAATCAGTAAACTAAAAAAATTAAAAAAAAAAAAAAGCAAGAGCTTCCATTAGTGATATACTCCCCCCCCCACACACACAGTCATTAAAGACTAGCATTTAAGCACAGTATCTGAGAAGGGTAGTCTTGAGTGAGTAATGAATGACACAACTTACAATTCTTCTCCGAATATTAAACTTTAAATATTAGGTTCCCAAAAATTCATGATTGTCTCCTTTTGTATTCTGTTATGCTACTTGGTGTAATATGGAAGAGAAGAAAGACAAGGGGTAATATTTTTGTTCCAACAGAAGCTATTGTCTTGGACATGGATCCTTTTCTTCACTGTGTAATCCCCAACTTCATCCAAAGCCAAGACTTCCTGGAAGGACTTCAGATGGAACTTTTGAGCCTGGACTTCCATGAAAAGTACAATGATTTATATAAGTTCCAGCAGGTATTTATTCCTATTACTTGAGCTCTTCCTCCTCAGAAAGTCTTTGGCTATAAAATCATTCATTACTGTAGAGTGCTTACTGCTCTTCCAGAGGACCCAGGTCTAGCACAGAAATACAATCCATTGGTGTCCCCAGTGTGGGATCATCTTCAATACAGGGACCACTCACTCTAAAAGGCTGTCAGGGTTTAAAAATTCAAAAAAGGGTTGGAAAGATAGCTCAGCAATTAAGAGCTCTGGCTGCCCTTCCATTAGACCTGCGTTCCAGTCACAGCACACAGTCACATGGTTGCCCACACCCGTCTATAACTCCAGTCCCAGGGAATCCAGCACCCTCTGCTGGCTTCCAAGGGCACCATGTGATAGATACACAGACATACATGTAGACAAAACATCCATACACATAAAATAAAACTGAAATATTTTGAAAATTCAAAAATGAAGCAGATGAATTATTTTTTTATTTTCTTTGCACTTCCCTTTTGATTTTATCTGGAATAAGAGAGTGACTAATTAATACCTCATTCTTTTACGCTGGAGCTGATCATCTGATAAGCTGACAGCATCCTACTCCCCTCTAATTGTAGACCTTGTACATATGATTGAATTATCCAGAAACTCTAATGCAAATCAAACTTTTATTCCAGTAAAGTTTACCAGGTTAATGAAAAGACAGCAGTTATCTGCTTTTATAATTATACCAACTTTTCAATCCTAAGCGATCTCTGATTACTAAATTGAGATACCAGTGTGTGAGTGTGTATGTGTGAGTGTGTGTGCTCAGCAATTGTGGATATACATGTGTGCCATTTCTCAGGCACCATACACCTTTATTTTGAATCAGGGTTTCTCATTGGCCTGAAGCTCATCAAGTAGGCTAGACTGACTGACTAGTGAGCCTAGCACTGAAATTAAAAGCACATGCCACACAGCTTTTTCTCTGTGGATTCTGGGAATTGGCCCTAAGTCCTTAGGCTCACAAGGCAAGCATTGCAATGACTGAGCAGTCTCAACCCCAGAATGGTTTTTAGTTGATGCTGTTTGACAAGAAGTAAGCTTGAGAAAAAAGCAAAAAATGACTCTGGGTGATGAAGAAAAGAAAAATGCCATTACCCATTGTGAATAATTTTTGCGTTGCTCACTTTTGGACAGGATCTCTTCACCTGTATACTTTTTCTTTGCATGTGCTATAAATTTAACAGATAATTGGATCTCTGACATTAGGATTTGTAGAATATTTATATTTATATTATATAATGTATATTGTATTTGTTGTTTATTTTGTTTTTCGAGACAGGCTTTCTCTGTGTAGATCCAGCTTCTTGGAACTCACTCTGTAGCCCAGGCTGGACTTGAATTCATAGAGATCCACCTGCCTCTGCCTCCCCAGTGCTGGGATTAAAGGCGTGCGCCACCACTGCCTGTCCATATTTTTTAAGCATTACTAGTACATACTTTATGACAGTCCAAGCGTTTTGGTTATTAAGTCCTCATCAGAGTCCTGTGACGGAGTGCACTACTATTCCTGTTTTACAAATAGGAAACCATGTAAGTTTTTCCTTCTCTTCTGGATCATTCAATTTAACATGACAACAATAACAAAACTCTATTAGGTTTTTTTCCATTAAAATTTTTTTAATTAAATGAAAATTTAAAAGATCTTGATCTAATTTTCCCCTTCAGCTTCCATCCTGTTTTTTATTCGTTTGCTTGCTTGTTTTTGGTTTAGTTTGATTTGGTGTGGGTTTTGGTTTGGTTTGGTTTGTTGAGACAAAATTTCTCTGTGTAGCTTTGGAACCTGTCCTGGATCTCGCTCTGTAGACCAGGCGGGCCTCAAACTGACAGAGATCCACCTGCCTCCGACTCCCAAGTACTGGGATTAAAGGCCTGGCCACCATCACCTGAGATTTATTTATTTGTTTGTTTGTTTGTTTTGAGGCTAGGTCCCTAGATATAGCCTAGGCTAGCCTCAAACTGACACTCCTCCTGCCTCTACCTCCTGTGTGCTGGATTACCGACCTGTGACATCACATCTACTAGCACGGTTCTTTTAAGGGCTGTCCAAACTGCTTCATGTCCTTTCCTTTCATCCTCTTGTAAGCACATATGATCACTCTTTTGCCTTTACCACTGTGCTTGCCAAGGTCACTCTCAGCCTCCACATTAGTAAATATAGCCTTCACTTGTCATTCTTTGACTTTTTTTTTTTTTTTTTGAGACAGGGTTTCTCTGTGTAGTTTTGGTGCCTGTCCTGGATCTCACTCTGTAGACCAGGCTGGCCTCGAACTCACAGAGATCCACCTGACTCTGCCTCCTGAGTGCTGGGATTAAAGGCGTATGCCACCACACCCAGCTATTCTTTGACTTTTTACGAGACCAACACAATACCTACTATGCTACAAAGGCAGATAATCCTTGATCTTTTAGAAGCATTTGCATGCCTTCTTCCTAGAGACATATTTTCACTTTCCTTTCAGGATACCATGCTGTGTTAGTTACTTTTCTATTGCTGTGAAAAGACACCATGACCAAGGCAACTTATAGAAGAAAGCATTTAATGGGGGCTTACAGGTTCAGAGGGTTGGAGTCCATGACCATCATTGTGGGGAGCATGGCAGCAGGCAGGCAGGCATGATACTAGATCGGTAGCTGAGAACTCAAACCTCATTCACAACAGATACGGTGTGAGCTTTTGAACCCTCAAAGCCCATTCCCAGGGACACATCTCTTCCCAATAGTCCACCAACTGGGAACCAAGCATTTAAATATATGAGCCTATGTCAACCATTCTCATTCAAACTACCACACATACACTCTTAATTTCCTTTGCTAAGTCTTCCCCTTATAACCAACATCTGTTTGTATTTTAATTAGTATTATTGGGAGGGCAAGGTGGGAGGGGCAGTCACAGGACAGTGTTTTGGAACTGGTCCTCTCCTTCCATCTTTATGTAGGTTCTGAGTATCAAACTCTGGTCACCCACCGTGTTTGTTCACAAGCACTTTTACACACTTAGCCATCTCACCAGTCCATAGAACCAACTTCCTGGTGAGTCCTTCTTAGTGCCAGAATACTCGATCCTGAATAATTTGATCCCTGAATTAAGATTGAGCACAGATTTCCATGGAGTCTCATGGCTTTCTGTCTCCTTGGATGTCTAGGAGTCACAGGTTTACAACCAACACTAAACTCCTAGTCTCCTCCCTCTAATTCTGTTGCTCCTCTTGACCTCAGATCAAAATGAGCCATTCTTAAGTCCTTGTTCAGTCCTCATGTCCCATCCCCTGAGGACACTTTCTTCACTGCATCCCAAACACCTCCTACACTTCACCATCAACAGCATTCACCCCTCTAAGCTGTATCTCTCACCATGATAATCATTTGAGTGTATAAACCCGGCTCCTACCTTCACCCACTTATCTAACTGTTACCATTTTGTTCTTTTCATGTAAGTGAATTCAAGAGAATTAGAACATACATGTTCACATTAAAAACTTGCTCACAGATGTTCATAGAAGCAATGTTTATAGAAGCAACCAGACGTCTACCCACTGATTAATGGGTAAACAAAATGCAGTATGCCCATCTAGTGGAGTATTATTTAATCATAAAAAGTAAGTCAGAGCTGCAACATCATGAGCCTTAGAAATGTTTTGCTAATAGAAGCCAGTGAGACTCTGGGAACACTGAGATGGTTTGGCAGGTGAGAGCACTTGCTGCTGAGTTCAGAACCCACATAAAAAAGTGAGATATGGTGGCAAGCATCTGTAATCTAGGCCTCCTCTGGTGAGATGGGAGGTGGAGACAAGAAACTTGTGGGCCAGTTAGCCCAAAGTATGCAGTACAGTAGAAACAAGAGAGAGACTTTTCCTCCACAAGGTGGGAGGGGAGAACTGAACCCTGATGTTGTCCTTGACCTCCACACGTGCACCATGGCACAGCCATACCTACATTTATACACCTACTACTTATAATAAATATAAAATTTTAAAATAAGCCAGACTCAAGATGCTGTGTATTATATGATTTTTTTTTTTAATATCCAGAATAGGCAGATGGCCCATAGAAACAAGAAACAGGGTGGTGTTTGTTAGGAGCTGGTAGTAGAAAAGATGGAGCGCAACTGCCTAATAGAGACAAGATTTCATTTTGTAGTGTTAAATTCTGGGCTTATGCAGCATGGTTGGCTGCATGGTGAATATGTGAAACCCATGGAATTATGTTTTTCAAGTGATGAAAATACTAGATTCTACATTATGGGGAGTTTTCTCTCAAGATATCACCTCACGTTTCTCCTTTGCTCAACAACTTAATAACTCTTCATTTCCTTGGGTAAAAGCCATCGTACACAGATTGGCTCCAGGCTAACACAATGCCTTCTGTAGGGCTTTGATCCTCACCTACTGCTCCCCCATTTGCGCTTCCCCAGCCACTGAGTTTCTCCAGTATTTGGGGTAAATTGTGCTTTCCCTCATTGCAGTCTACCTGGCTCACCTACTTACAATTGCAGGCCTTTCCTACTCTCAGCACAACCCATTCCTCTTTCTGTTGGTTTTTCCTATGCACTTGCCACCTTTATGCTAATAAATTACATTTTATGTTTACTGTATGACTCCTTCAACAAATGTCAGCTTCTCTGTAATAACTACTTAAGTGTTTGCTGAATGAATAAGGTACAAAGACACTAAGTCACTTGCCCATATCATAGCTGTAAGATGGAGGGATTGTATGTCAGACCTGGTAGTTCTCTTCAGTCTAGGCTCAGCCACAATGTTCTGCTATCAGAGTCCTCACTGTTCTTCTTTGCATCCAATACACTGTAACAAGGAAATCCTTTTTTTTCCTTTATGATCAAGTCTGATGATTTGAAGAAGAGAAAAGAGCCTCACATCTCAGCTTTAAGGTAAGCAAGTAATTACATTTTTGGGTGCCAAATATATGTTAGGCAGAGCATTGAGTGCTTTTTGTTTTGTTTTGTTTTTCGAGACAGGGTTTCTCTGTGTAACAAGGCCTGGCTGTCCTGTAACTCTCTCTGTAGACCAGGCTGACCTCAAACTCACAGAGATCCGCCTGCCTCTGCCTCCTGAGTGCTGGGATTAAAAGTATACATGCATCACCATGCCCGGCTACCTCACTGAGTGCTTTAAATGTTAGTTCATACACTCTTTGTTGACATTATTGCATTTGGTAAAGGAAGAAACAAACCCTAAGAAACTAAATAACTTCTTTAAGACATCCCAATAAAAATTGAGAGCTAAGATACAAACCCAAGCCTTGGATTGTTTGCTTGATCACCCTTCTTTCCCTCCCTTCCTCCCTCCCTTCCTCATCCCTCCCTTCCTTCCCTTCTTCTTTCCCTTCCTTGTGGACAGGGTCTCAGGCAGGCCCAAGACTTACTATGTATGTAGCTCAGGTTGGCCTGAAAGTCACAGTAGTACTCCTGCCTCCAATTACCAACTGCTGGGATTACAGACATGAGTCACCATGCCTGGCTTCAAATCTTAATAATAAAATGTTTGGGTTTGTTAGTTATGAAGGAAACAAAGTAACAACGGAGAGAGCATTTTCTGCTCATGAAGCTAGGAAGTACTGAAAATTAAAACTCCAGTGTTGACAAGTTAGATACATTTTCATACTTGTGCAGTCCTTTAGAAGACAGTGTACCAAAACCCTTAAAAGTACGCATTTAAAAAATTATTGTGCTTAGGGGTGTTTCACCTGCATGTATGCATATTCCCCATATGTGGGCAGTACCCGTGGACATCAGAAGATGTTGGAACCCCTGGAACTGGAGTTACAGATGGTTGTGTGCTGCCATGTGGGTTCTGGGAACCGAACCCAGGTTCTCTGCAAAAAGTAGCTGGTGCTCTTAATCAGAGCCATCTCTCCAGACCTGCAAGTATGCACATTTTATAAAGTAATTCTAAGAATTGATGGTGACAAAACAAAGAAGTACAGGGGCTGGAGAGATGGCTTAGTGGTTAAGAGTACTGGCTGCTTTTCCAGAGGACCCAGGTTCAATTCCCAGCACCCTCATGGTGGCTCACAACCATCTGTAATGAGATCTGATGCCCTCTTCTGGCCTACTGGTATACATGCTGGCAGAACAGTGTATACATAATAAATAAATAAATCTTTAAAAAAAAAAAAGTACACAAAGTTCCATACAGGAAACTATGCAACCATGAATATGTGTGTGAATTTTAATAAACAAGATAATCACACTTTATTTTGTCAATTCAATGATACTTGTAAAAAAAAAAAAAACCTCTAAAATCTAGTGTCCTCTCTAGTTGCTATTTTGTTCTAGTTTAATTAGTAATATTTTCTCCCCTTAGGGGTGTATAAGAGGATGGTTATTACAAATAAAAGCATCTTAGATCATTGGGATACACTGTTTTCAAAAGGAAAGAATGTGCTGCAGACATAAACTGTATGTTTATGTACAAACTGAAAGACTTCAAGTAGACGAATAGGATTAGAGTTTTTTTTTTTTTTAAAGATTTATTTATTTATTATGTATAGTGTTCTGCCTGCATGTATCCCTGCAGGCCAGAAGAGGGCACCAGATCTTATTACAGATGGTTGTGAGCCACCATGTGGTTGCTGGGAATTGAACTCAGGACCTCTGGAAGAACAGTCAGTGCTCTTAACCTCTGAGCCATCTCTCCAGCCCCAGGATTAGAGTTTTTAAAAACATTTTCTTTTTACTTCTTTAAGATTTTTTTTCAATAATGAGAACATGCTGTATAGTAGCTGCTTTTCATCTATGTACAAAGAGTTATTTTTTCTCTGAGACAGTCCCTTATATGATAGTAGCCTGTACAGGTTATTTCTTTCTATCTAGAAGTACTGCTTATGTGTTAACTATAACTCATATTTCATACTAATTTAGACTTTCCTCCTAAAGAGAAACAATCTCACTTTCAGACATTTGGTCTCATTAGTCCAAAACACCCATCATCCATGACTGAGCATTATCCCATACTCAAAGAGTCACAAATGGGAGACCAGGACATGCTTGACTATTACAGAAAATGGTCTTTTTATTTGCCATGTGTGTTCTGGGTGTTCTCACAAATAAAATTAAAGATGCCAAAGATGAGAGAAGATAGAAGCCTGTCCCTGTCCCTGGTTACTTCACAGTGTGTATAGAAAGGAGCTTTCTGTAGCATTAGTTTTGGGAGTTGATGATAGCAGTTGATTTTTCAGAAATATTTATCCCCACCCTTACCCCCTACCATTGTCTGGGGACCAGTGTAGCAGCTGGCTGTCTTGACGCATTATGCATCATTGGAAGCTGTGCCTTTAGAGATTACAGAACACTTCCGGGGTTGTCCCAGCCAAGCACAAAACATCTTATGGGATGTTTTGGTTTGAGGAGTATACGTTGTAAGAAAACGGTAGTGGGGTCTTACAGATTTCTCAGGAGTAGTTACTGACAACACAATTGCATTTTGTAGGAATTTCTGTTCTGTGCATTTGAATGAGCCAAAAGTCCTATATCTTCATGTGTATAATTTGATCAAATATAAGACTTTTAAAAACATTTGGATTGGGGTTTGTTTTTTGTTTTGTTTTGTTTTGTTGGTTGGTTGGTTGGTTGGTTGTGTTGTTGTTGTTGTTGTTGGCTGTTACTGTGCTTGTTTTTGTTGTTCTTACTGTTTTCAGTGGCTGGCCCGGCACTTATAACAACTTTCTTGTCTTGCCCTCCTCAGTACTGGGATTACAGTTACGTACCACATGTCCAGCTAAAAGTTTATACTTATCAAAGTTAACATTATTTCAGGGTTGACTGGCTGAACTAGTTATAACTTGTATTAAAGAGATGCTATACAAAGGGCCAGAGGGCCAGCTTATCTTATAATGGAAATGTTCATTATCTTTTCTTATTTACACCTGCTGGCATCAGAACATCTGTGGATGTTTTGTTGATTGTTGTGTGATTAATTTATTATTTGTGGTTACTACAATTTAAAGTCATTTTGTGGACCAGTGAGTAGGCTCAGCTGGTAAAGGTGCTTGCCGCTAAGAGTGATGGCCTGAGTTCAATTCCCGGTACACACATGGTAGAAGAAGAGAACTGATTTCCACACATTGTTCTCTTACCTTCACGTGTGCCACGGTGTGTGTACTCACACAAATAAATACATTCAAGTTTTAGGAAGGTCATTTTGTGATCTCCTGCAGTTGCTCACCCAAGTGTTTATCAAACAGCAGTACTAGTGTTACTGGAGCCCCTAGCACTAACAAGTGACTCTGGACCCAGCTTCTTGTCTGTGTGAAGAAAAATGTGGCATAAAATACATCAGATGGAAAAATGAGTTTATTGACACTTACATCCCAAAAGTGGAGAGAGAGAGAGCTATTCTCAGTTGGATCCTGCCCTCCCTATGGCACTGGTACGTTTTTAGAAAGGAGACAATAAAAAGCCAGGAAAGATGCACATGTAGACTTAACCAAAGCTGGATTTAGAAAAAAGACAGTTCAAAAAATCCTAATTTCAGCCAGGCAGTGGTAGTGCACACCTTTAATCCCAGTAGTTGCGAAGCAGAGGCAGGCTGATCTCTGTGAGTTCTAGGCCAGCCTGGTCTACAGAATGAGTTCCAGGACAGCCAGGGCTACACAGTGAAACCTATCTCAAAATAAATAAATAAATAAATAAATAAATAAATAAATAAATAAATCCTAATTTCAAGGGTGCATCACTGCATTAGTATTATGCTTATGATGTTGGATTTATAACAGGAAATACTTAATTCATCTTAGTCCCCATTCCTGGCAGCAAGCTCCTAAGATTTAGAATTTAAGTGTTGAGATTAATAAAGGTGAATGGAGAAACTTTGTTAGGGAAAAAAACAACCTTTCTACCACACCTGAGCTTCTGGTAATGGAGAACTCCTAAAGGCTGGAGAAGAAGGGACAGTTGCCAAGAAGATAACCAAGAGGGCGGCAACTCTCAGCTCTAACCATTCCGGCCCGGGAAAACGAGGAGGGTGGTCAGGTCAGGTAGAAGGATTGCTACAAGTTTGAGTCTAGCCTGAGCTACATAGTACATTGTAGGCCAAGCCTAGGCTATAAAGCAGGACCTTGTTTCAAAGAGAAGAAGGGCTTACAGTTGGCTAGATGCATCCCTAGTGGCCAGTGGTTTGTTTAGTCAACCATGCCTGTGCAGCAAAGCATCCCTAAGTTCCTGAGGTGCCAAGGAGATGCGAGAGAGGTTCAGTTTCTCTCCCCAGGGCTTTATGCTGTGAATCTTTTGTATTTGGCTGTTCCTGAGTTGAGTCATAAAATTATTGTTTGTGTGTGTGCCTTAGTTGAGTTCATCTGTGTATAGATGACCTTGGAGGCCAGAGGACATTGGATCCCTGGAACTGGAGTTACAGATAGTTGTGAGCTTCCTGATGTGGGTGAAGTAAAAAATTACCTCAAAAATGATCCAACTTGAGGAGGGTGTTGTAGGGACCTCCTGTTTATACCGGATCAGCACAGCTCATGAGCTGGTCCTCTAATTGGGTCTGAAGGCAGCCAGTCCTGTGAGACTGAGCCCTTAATCCTGTAGCTAGTGTAAGAATTGAACTGAGTTGTTTTTTGTTTTTTTTTTTAAGATTTATTTATTTATTATGTATACAGCATGTATGACTGCAGGTCAGAAGAGGGCACCAGATCTCATTACAAATGGTTGTGAGCCACCATGTGGTTGCTGGGAATTGAACTCAGGACCTCTGGAAGATCAAGCAGTGCTCTTAACCTCTGAGCCATCTCTCCAGCCCCTGAACTGAGTTTTAAGGGGTGCTGATTGTTTCCAAAAATAGGTAGTTAACAGGGAAAAACCACGTATTTGGTGTCAGAAGCAAAATGTGTTTTTAAAAAAAAAGGAATTGAGTTTTCACATTTACTACTGAAAAGCCTGTGTGAAACTGGGTGACTTATAATGGAACAGTGATGTAGTGACGGACAATAAAACCAGAGTGCTGGTATGGGAGGCCATACCACAGGCAAACTGCTAGGGAACGAAATGACGAGACTTAGAGCAAGCGCACTGTGGTAGCTGGAGAGTTCCATGATTTCCCTGGGAACTTGACAGCATGCAAATTTAAACTGGAGCATCTCTCAGTCTCTCAGGGTCTCATGAATGAAATTTGAGAATGGTCTCTTGAATGAAATGCGACCTTATGGGAGCATAGGAATGGCGTAGCTCCTGATTGAGCCTATGCTGTGGCATAACAAATTGTCTTTTGTTCACACTTCTAGGAAACTTATGTTTGAAGATTTTCGGGACTGGCTTTCTAAGGTTTCCAGCATTGACCTAGAACCAACCATTGATATGTCCTGTGCTAAATACGAGTTCACTGGTAAGGAGGATGAAGCCCTGCTGTCTAAAGATTTCAAGGCTTTAACTCTCAATGATGGAAAGGCAGCATCAGGGTCTTCCTAGTAAGGACTCTGCTCCTATGCAGAAATAGCCATCATATCACAAAGGATAAAGCCGTGCTTCTCTTTGGGTGTATGACAGCTATTAATCATATTTTCAGAAAAATTCTCATACCAACTTGCATACAGTATTGTAAAACTCCACAGGTGATGCTATAAATCTGTCCTTATATTTCTAAAGTTCCCTTAATGCTGAGTTTCCTTCTCTTTATTTTGAATTTGGTGAGTGAATATGGGGAATGGACCATGTAACTAGTAATAGTCCCTGTCACCTGCCTTGCCTCTTCAGAGGTGTCTGTTGCCTTCTACTTCCCCTTCAGATGCACAAATGTCCTCTGGAATGTGTGTGCCTTTTTAGAGGGAAACGTTGCTTGGTTTTGTTTTACTAAATTAGACTTCCCCAAGACTATACATGATAGCAAACCTGAATCGAAATTTAGTAAAACAAAACCTATCATGTATAGTCTTGGGGAAGTCTAAATTGGTAAAATATTTTGGAGATAAACTTAGCAATACATATGAAAAACTACTATGTATCTTCATTACTTTTTTTTATTTTATTTCTTTGAGACAAGATCTCACTATAATTCAGGCTAGTCTCAGTCTCACAGAGATCATCTGCCCATCCTCTTGAGTGCTGGGATTACAGGTGTAAACTACTACATCCAGTTTTTCTTTTTCTTTTTCTTTCTTAATTTGAAGTAATTTAACTTAAATAAAAGTGGCAGGCATAGCACAAATAATTTGTTTTCCTGTTTTATTTGAAAGATAGTTGCAGTTCTGGGATACCATAGGCCTAAACATTTCAGACATTCTTCCTCCATGGCAGTAATGGGCTTTCAGAGTGAGAAAATTCGTAGGCCTGGCTCATCTGTCACTATTTGGCCCTTGATGCCAAAGGGTCTCGTTGAGGATGGTACACTGCATTCACTGTCCTGTCCATTGAGCCTCCTTTATTCTAAAATAGCCTCTTGGTCTCTCCTGGACTTCCAGGACCTTGATGCTTCGGGAGACTTAGAGGCAGTTATGTTTTAACAGCTCCTTCAGTCTGGGCTTCTTGTGATTGGGTGATTCTCCTTAAGACATGCATTTGGAAGGAGTGTCATAGCTAATGCTGAGCTTTCTTTTTTCTGAGTCCTGCTAGATGGTTCACAGTGACGCTCACAGTATTAGTGATGTTGCCTTGAATGACTTCCGGGACGCTGCTGTCAGATGTGTCCACTGCTTGGCAGATTGTGCAGACTGCGCAGATCCTCTGCTGTTTGCTGTTTGTTTTGCTGCTGGGATTGAACCTAGGGCCTCACCTTGCTAGGCAAACACCACCTCCGAGCTGTAGCCTCAATCTTCTTACTTTTTTTTTTTTTTTTTTTTTTTGAGTTGGCATCTAAGTTGCCTAGGTTGCCTTTGAACCCACCTTGGAGCCCAGATTGGCCTTAACCTTGATTCTCTTGCTTGGTTTCTGCAGTAGGATTGTAAGACTTTGCTACCAAACCTGACTGTAAGGATTTGTAGGAGTCGAACCAGGAATTTGCACATGCTGCTTTAAGATTATGTAATTATCATGTTTCTCACCAAACTTTGGTTCAGTTATTTTCACAGGTAATTCTCATAGCTAAATTACTGCAATGTCAGTTGCCAAATGATGATTTTCTAGAAGTCATTTCTTCTGCTTCCCTTAGTTGTCATTCCACTGTATTGAAAACTTCTCCCCACTGTTTATTCATCAACTTACTTATATCAGTATGAATTTGTGGATTACTGTTTATACAGTGAGCTATTGCAATTGCTGTTATTCTATTGAGGCTTATATTGTCTTTGATTTGGTCGAGGAGAGTACCCTAGAGCTGATCTGGGGCCCTCTTGCTATGTTCTTATCATTCTTTATTTCCTAATTTCTGCAAGCAGGATTTTCAAGGCTTGCCTCCTCTTTCCCATGCCAGGTCTAGAATGACCTAGAGTGCATGCATCCTGGTTCCTTTTAGTGAAGAATGTACTTGAAAGTCAAGGCCTGGACTCAGTCTTTGTCACTAGGGTGTCACCTAGACCCTTTCAGTGAAAATGCCAGAATATATACCCCTACATATTCACACAAACATATACACATAACATTTATGCATTGCTATACCTACATAGCTGTAGATATAGGAAACTGAATTCATACTGCTTTTTCCAGTGCCAGTTGAATACTACAGGGTTTATTCTAGATTTCTTTTCCTTAACTGTAAACCTTCTTCAATTGTGCAGCACCTAGGCCCATTATCTTCAACATATTTACCTATTGGACCAATCCCTTCATGTATAAACAGTCCCAGTTCAGTGTAGCCTTTTGCCCTGTCCCATCCTTCATAGATGCCCACCTTGCTCAACCCCACCAATGGCTTTAAAGAATTAGGCTAGGCAGTTAATGAGAACAAGAACAAAGGAATCAGGCCAGCAAGATGGGTTGGTTCAGTGGGTTAAAGGTACTTGCCTCTAAACCTGACAACCTGAGTTTGATTCCTGGGACCCACACAGTGGAAGAGGACCAACTTCGCAAGTTGTCCTCTGGTCCACATGTCCCTCTCTCGCCACCAACACACAATAAATAAATGTTAAAAAAAAAAAATTTCAAGGACAAAGGGATCTATGTACCCATGAACAGTAAAATTTGTTAAGGCATTCTTTGGAATAGCCAAGAAATACAAACAATTTAATTTAGAAATTCAATTAGAGAAAAGGTAAATTTACAGTCTATATAGTACACTAATTGTGTAGCCATTAAAAGTGATGTCTAGGGTGTATATTGATATGGAAAAACACTCACTTTGTAATTTTAAAGAAGTCAGCCTACAGCCCACCACTATAGCATACTATTTCTTTAAGTGAATACACATATGAGGGAAAAATATAACAAAAATATGTAGAAAAATAGTGTTGGTAACTATATTGTAGCTCTGTCTGTATTCACTGTGTTTAAGGCTTTCTATGTTGCATGGGTTTGATTGCTACATTTACAAATGAGAAGTGTCATCTAAAGCGACAGTTAAAGCTGGAGTTGACATTACAGATGAATGTCAGGGGGACTGATTGAAAGCACAAGCAGATAGCAGCTATTCTGTGTACAATGATCTAAATTATGCTTTAAATGATTGCAGATGCTCTGCTCTGCCATGACGATGAGCTGGAGGGGCGGAGGATCGCCTTCATTCTGTACCTGGTTCCTTCCTGGGACAGGAGCTTGGGGGGCACCCTGGACCTTTACAACACTGATGGTAAAATGCACATTTACTACCTTCAGTAGCCACTCCTGAATTCCAGCCAGTAGCCTCAGGATCACCAGTCTGACATATAATGTGTCAAAGGAGATAGAAACCATGTATTCAGCTGGGTGGTAGTGGTGCATGCCTTTAATCCCACTCAGCACTTGGGAGGCAGAGGCAGGTAGATCCCTGTGAGTTCGAGGCCAGCCTGGTCTACAAAGCAAGTTCCAGGACAGTCAGAGCTGTTACACAGAGAAACCTTATCTCGAAAAAAAACAAACAAAATTCCAAAAGAACAAAAGAAAAAAGAAACCATGTATTTGGCACAGTGACTACCACAGGTAGAATTAATGCTAGCCCTAACAACCACCTCTTGAAGTTATATTTCAAATACTTGTTCAGAGACAAAGCTGATTAAGATGAGAAGGAGATCTTGTTCTGTGTCCTGACCATGGAAGGGCAAAAGGCATACCAAGCTACCTGTGCCTGTGAGTCCGCCATCCGCAGCCTGTCTGACAAGGGTTCGGTTTGTTTGAGTGACTCACCACAGGTTGACGCTAGGAAAATGAGAAGTTCATCCACTCTCATCAATAACAGCTGGACAGTGTGGTGGAAGCATGTCACCTAGAGACTAGTGAGTCACACAGGTAGAAGGGAGTATTTGAGAACGTCAGGAGCTGGATGAGGCAGCCTGCAAGTGGTAATACTAATGAACCCATTTATGGATATCTTCTCTCCTGATGCAGAACACTTCCAGCCAAAGCAGATTGTCAAGTCTCTTACCCCTTCGTGGAACAAACTGGTTTTCTTTGAAGTATCTCCAGTATCCTTCCACCAGGTAAATATTGTAAGACAAGTCTATAGTGCACTAAGGACCAAGATCTTGTTTTCTATCACCCACTGTCTAAGTATGTCCACTTCCTGCTGGACTGTCTCACGCGGTTGTTTTCATGCCTAGCTTGATGGATTCTCAAGTTAATGTGTCTTAGCTAGTGTCTTCATTTGTCATCCTTTGAGTTGATGTGCTCCTGGTCTTGATCTTGCAGGTATCTGAAGTTCTGTCTGAAGAAACATCACGTTTATCTATAAGTGGCTGGTTTCATGGTCCTTCGTTAGCCAGGCCTCCCACCTACTTTGAGCCCCCAATTCCTCGACACCCTCACATCCCACAAGACGTAAGCATAAATTACTGGGATTCTTATCTTATGTACTATAGCATATTAGTTGTTTTTCTGATTTTACTCTTGTGAGGACCATGCGAGCTGACACGTATTTTGCAGTACTAGAAATTAAATCAAGGGGCTTGCATATGCTAACAAAATGTTCTACCAATGAACTTTATACCCAACCTGTTTTTCTGATCTTAAAGTTAGATCTTGCCAATGCTGAAACTGGACTTTGAACTTCCATTTTTCTTAGATAAATTTTGATAATGTTTTCTCCGAGTTTTCTAGTACTTTGGGCTTGATAGGAGGAACATAAAAAGTGAAGACTGGAATGACAAGAAGCTGTAGATATTAATGGATCTCGTGTATCTGCTGCTTTTTTGTAAGCATGAGATTTTATATGAGTGGATCAACCCTGCTTATCTGGAGATGGATTATCAAATGCAAATTCAAGAAGAATTTGAGGAAAGGTCTGAAATTCTCCTGAAGGAGTTTCTTAAGGTATGCCACCATAGCCTGTTTTATATGTGTTGTTGACGTATCATCTTGCTAAAACTGATCAAGACTGTTTTCCTTCCTAGCTCAGATGTTTATGTGTCTCTTCTGTTGTTGTTTGTTTTATTACTCTTTTTGGAGGGCCCACCACCCAGCTCCCAAACAAATCGCATATAGAGGCTTAGTCTTACTTATGAATGCCCAGCTTTAGCTTGACTTGTTTCTTGCCTGCTTTCCTTAACTTATCCTGTCTACCTTTTACTTCTGGGCTTCTCCTGTTATCTCACTTCTGATTCTTACTCTTACTCAGTGGCTGGTTGTGTAGACGGGTGGCTGGTCCCTGGTGTCCTCCTCCTTCTCTGGCTGCTAGATCTCTGTCTTCCCAGATTTGTCCCTCTCTATAGTCTCTCTGCCTGCCAGCCCTGCTTATCCTTTCTCCTTTCTGCCTTGCTGTTGGCCAGTTCTTTCTTAGACCATCAGGTGTTTTAGATAGGCACAGTAACACAGCTTCACAGAGTTAACCAAATACAACATAACATAAACAAAAGTAACACACCTTGAAATAATATTCTACAACACTCTTCAAATCAAATGCACAAATTATAATAAGCATTGCTGTTGGGTGTGTGTGTGACATCCCTAGGACTCTATGGACTTTTTTTTTTTTTTTTTGGAGAACCCTGTATAACAGCCCTAACTATCCTGGAACTTGCTCTGTAGACCAGGCTGGCCCCGAACTCACAGAGATCTGCCTGCCTCTGCTTCACAAGTGCGGGGATTAAAGGCGTGCGCCACCACCACCTGGCTCTATGGACCTTTTTAAGGTTTAGATTTCATTTTATTTACATGTATGTATGCATACATGTATGTTGGTACTCAAGGAGGCCAGAAGAGGGCATCAGATGCCCTGGAACTGAAGCTACAGGTCCTCTGTAATAAACACTTTTAACCACTGAACCTGCCCAGGACTATAATGCCCCCCCCACACACACACACCGAAGCTTCTTCCCTAAAAGGGATTTGGTACCTAGTTTGTTTTCTTTCTATTCATTTGATGAATATGGTCTTTGCTCATTTTTAATAGATACATTGCTACTTATAGTGATCTAATAGTGAATGTTTGACCATGATGAGGCAACTTGAGTGGAAGGAGCTGAAGTCAGAAATCATGTCCTACTCAGGTTTCCCTAAGCTGAGCAAGTGAGCACACTAGGTATTTATTGTCTTATTGGTTGCACTGGGATGATACCTGCCTGGGCTTTCTTGCAGGGTTGTAAGAGCTGTGTGAGATAACAGTCCCAAGAGCTCTTCCTCCATGAAAAAGCTGGAGGGTTATGTCAACTGACTCTCAGAATTTTACAGTTGACCTTGAATATTACAGAATTTAAGAGGCATTATACTGTTATAGACATAATAACATCTAACAACTGTCTGTAACTCCATTTCCAGGGTACCCAACGCCCTCTTTTGACCCCCATGGGCAATGCACAGATGCATAGACATGCAGGAAAAACACACACACACACACACACACACACACACACACACACACACATATATATAGTATTTTTTTAAATTAAAGCTTCTTGTGAATATATTTCAATAGAAAGTTTCTATATTATATTTGACTATTCAAAATTTGAAAGCTTATTAAATGAGGGGACAAGCTGCATCATATTAACACTAGCTAATACAGTTTAACTTTTCCTCATCACAGCCTAAGAATCCAAGAGTTAGTGTCACTAGGAATTTGAGATTTAGCATTTAGCCACTTAACATACACTATATAACCACTAGGAGCCGGAGAAATGGTTCAGTGAGTAAGACCATCTGTTTCACAAGTGTGAGGATCTGAGCTTAGATCTCATGATCTCTGAGCGCCCATGTGTTCATGTGTTTGTTTATTTCTGGGGCCAGAGACAAGAGACTGGAATTGCTGGCTACCAACCTAGTGGGAGAGGGCTGGGAACCACATGCTCCAGGTTCAGTGAGGGATCCTGTCTGCAAGAGGTCCTTCTCTAGTCTCCACACACATATGCTTGGGTGCATGCTCTCATGTGCATACACTCACATACATCACACATACATACAAAAATTCTTTTTCTTTCTTTTTTTTTTGAGGCGGGTTTCTCTGTGGAACAGCCCTGGCTGTCCTGGAACCTGAAGCTCGCTTTATATACCAGGCTGGCCTCGAACTCACAGAGATCTACCAGCCTTTGCCTCTCCAGTGCTGGGATTAAAGGTGTGTGCCACCATCACTTTGCTTAAAAATTCTTTAATAATAAATTTACAAGCACTTAATGGAGTAGCCCAATGGCACTTAGCTCTCTTAGCTAAAACTGCCCCATAGTTCCTGTATGAAAGAGGAAATATTCAAATGGACCCCTTAGGAGTCAGCCAGCTGATATTCTGCAGAGCTGCTTCTCCTGCCAGAAGAGGGAGGGATTGCAGGAAGAATTGCTAACTTCTTTGTTTATTTTCCAGCCTGAGAAATTTGCAAAGGTCTGTGAAGCCTTGGAGAAAGGAGGTGTGGAATGGAATAGCCGTGGTCCCCCAAACAAAAGGTAGAGGTCCCCATCACAGATGGTTCCATCTGTATTCAGCACCTCCCTTTCATCTGCATGAGTCATCTCCAGTAGGACACTTGCCCTTAACGTTGAGTTCCCCAGGACATGCTGCAGCGGGTCCTAGCAGTCTCACCAGTCTCCTAAGTCGTGCCATCATTTCGGGAGAAAGGTTCAAAGCTACTGACCAGCTTTGATTGCATGGGTGAGCTCACATGGGGGGCTGAGGAGCTCACCATTGCTGCTTTTCAGGTTCTATGAGAAAGCGGAAGAAAGCAACCTCCCCAAGATACTGAAGGAGTGCATGGGCTTGTTCCGCTCCGAGGCACTGTTCTTGCTGCTCTCCAACTTCACCGGCCTGAAACTCCACTTCCTGGCCCCGTCAGAAGAAGATGAGATTGAGGACAAAGGAGAGGGAGAAGCAGCCTGTGCTGCTGATGGCACGGAAGAAGGGACTAGCCAAAGCCCCTCAGGGCCCGAGAATAAACAGGCAGCTCTTGGCAGCCACAGTCAGGAGAGTGGTGAACAGACAGACCTGGAACCACAGGAAGATGAAGCAAAGAAAGGTAAGCTAGTGTTAGGACTCACCTTTATTTTTACCTGAAACCATTCACATTCCAGTGATTTATCCTTGCGCATGTAACAGATCCTTGCTGAACAGTGTCTCCACATCAGGAGCAGGAGAACAGAGCCAAGGTAGCTCTCCTGGATGCTGAGTTCTTCTAGGAGATGGCAGAGGTCACATCTATACCCAGGAAACAAAGGAGCCTCAAACTGTGCTACAGGCTCACACAGCATGCTGTGTTTACTTCCAGCGAAGCACTCCTCTCACCACTGCTGTTGTTCCTGCCTTAAGAAGTGTACTAGCTGTCCTCTTCCCGAAAATGTTCATCCTGCATTTCTCCTTCTTATTCAGATCTGAGCAGTGTCACTTCTCAGAGAAGCTTCTGTACCACACTCACACACGAAACTGCTCAGTCCTAGTCAATCCTTGTCACATGACCTCATTACAATGTAGTGTACATACTGCTACAGTCTCTTAATGCATATGTGCATCAATCCTGTTGTGTCTGGAGGAGTCACTTAGAACCATTATTTTTGTATGTTTGGAGTCATCCATCCCCTTTGGCTCTTAACAATGATCCCATCTTCTCTTCTGCATAGCTCCATGGGCCCTGAGGGGAGGGTTTGATGAGGACATCCCACTTAGGACTGAGTGTTCCAAAATCTCTTAGTCTCTCCATATTTTCCATATGTGGGTCTCTGTGTTAATTCTCATCTACTACAAGCAGAAGCTTCTCTGATGATGGCTGAGCGAGGCACTGATCTATGGGTATAGCAGAACAATAGTATTTGGTTTTCCCTTAGGCCTATCCAGTCTCTGGTTTGGGGCTACCCATGCAAGTCAGACATGGGTTCCATCTCATGGAGTGGGCCTTGAAACCAACCAGAGTGGTGGGTTACTCCACAGTGCTGTGCCACTATTGCATCAGCATGGCTTGTGGGCAGGTCACCCTTATAAATCACAGAGTTTGTGGCTGGGTTGATGGTTACCTTTTCTCCTCTGATAACATGTGGGGAACCTTCCAGTACCATGAACACTAATCAGTACGGGTGAAGCCTCTAGTTAGGCACCAGCTTGATTTCTCCATGTTCAGTGAGATATATAAGCGCTGTCTTCAGTGATAGGGCCTTACCATCAGTTTCTGGAGAGTGATCAGTAGTCTTGGCAATAGTGTGAGATGTTTGGGGGCTTCCATGGAGATGCTTTTGGCAACAACTCGACTAGATGTAACCCATTCCTGGCACTGGAAGTTTCACTTGGTGGCAAAAGATGTCTAGTTGGGGCATTGTCTTCCCCATTTTTTGGTGACTCCATTTCTGTTTCTTGCATGTTTGTATCTGTCTTAGGACACTCCTACAGTAGTAGGTTTCCTTGTGACCCCTCAGCTGGCCCTTAGTGTTAGTTGTCCCTCTCTGTATTCCATTCGGAGAGACTCCCCTCCTCGCTAGCCCCTTACTCTATACCTACTCTCTGTGGTTACGGATTGTAGCGTCCAGTGCTTGAAAACTAATATCCATCTTGGGTTCTAGGTTACCCCACCCAGGATGGTTTTTTTTTCCTAGCTCTATCCATTTACCCACAAATTTCATATTTTTAACAGCTGAATAATATTCCATTGTATAAATGCACCACATTTTCATTATCCATTGGTTAATGGGCATCTTGACTATTCCCAATTTCTGGCAATTAGAAACAGAACAGCAATGAACATGGATAAGCACGTATCTCTGTAGTAGGATGTAGAGTCCTTTGGGTATGTGCCCAAGAGTAGTGGGGATCTTAAGGTAGATCTGTTCCCAGTTTCCTGAGGAACTGCTACACTGATTTCCATGGTGGCTTTACAAGTTTGCACTCCCCTTCCAATGAATAAGTGTTTCCCTTTCCCCACATCCTCGCCAGAGCTATCATTTCTTTTCTTTTTTTTTTTTTTTTTTTTTTTGGTTTTTCAAGACAGGGTTTCTCTGTGTAGCTTTGCGCCTCTCCTGGAACTCGCTTTGGAGACCAGGCTGGCCTCGAACTCACAGAGATCCGCCTGCCTCTGCCTCCCGAGTGCTGGGATTAAAGGCGTGCGCCACCACCGCCCGGCATCATTTCTTTTCTTAATCTTGGCGATTCTGACTGGTGTAAGATGAAATCTCAAAGTAGTTTTGATTTGCAGTCCCCTGATGACTAAGGATGTTGAACATTTCTTTAAGTGTTTCTCAGCCATTTGTGTTTCATCCTTTGAGAACTCTTGGCTTAGTTCTGTACCCCAGTTTTAAATTGGCTTATTTGTTTTTCTTGTTGTCCAGATGTTGTTTTTGTTTGTTTTTTGGGTTTTTTTTTTTTTAGTTCTTAGTATATTTTCAATATTAACCCTTTATTAGAATGTGTAATTGGTAATATCTTTTCCCATTCTGTGGCCTGTCACTTTGCCCAGATGACAGCATCCTTTGCCATACAGAAGCTTCTCAGTTTCATGAGGCCCCATTTATAAATTGTTGATCTTAGTGCCTGTGCTGAGTGTACTGTTCAGGAAGTCTTTTTCTGTGTCAATGAGTTCAATCTTACTCCCCATTTCCTCTTCTCTCAGATTCAGAGTATCTGAACTTGGGTTGAGGACCTTGACCATTTGGACTTGAGTTTTATGCGGAGTGATAAATATGGATCTATCTGCATTCTTCTACATGCAGCCATCTAGTTTGACCAGCACCATTTGTTGATGATGCTGTCTTTTCCATGTGTGTATTTATGACTTCTGTGACAAAAATCAGGTGTCCATAGGTTTGTGAACTTATGTCTGGGTCTTCAGTTCAATTCCATTGATCAACGTGTCTGTTTTTATTACTAATACCAGGCTGTTTTTTATCACTATAGCTCTGTAGTACAATTTGAAATCAGAGATAGTGATACCTGCAGCAGTTCTCTTACCATTCAGGATTATTATAGCTATCCTGGGTTTTTTTTTTTTTTTTGGTTTTTTTTTTTTTTTTTTTTTTTTTGTGTGTGTGTGTGTGTGTGTGTGTGTGTGTGTGTGTGTGTGTGTGTGTATGAACCTGAAAATTGTCCTTTCAATTTTTGCGAAGAATTGTGTTGGAATTGTAATGGGGATTATGTTGAATCTGTAGATAGCTTTTGGTAGGATGGCCATTTTCACTATATTAATCCTACTGATCCAGGAGACTAGGAGGTCTTTCCATCTTCTGATATCTTCAGTTTCTTTCTTCAATGTCTTAAAGTTTTTATTATACAAGTCTTTCACTTCCTTGGTTAGAGTTACCCCAAGATACTTTTAAGGCTATTGTGAACGGTAGTTTCTCTGATTTTTTTTTCTCGGTCTGTTTGTCATTTGTATATAGCGGGCTACTGATTTTTTTGTATCAATTTTGTATCCTGCTACTTTGCTGAAGGTGTCTATCAGCTGCAGTAGTTTCTTGGTGGAATTTTTCAGGTTGTTTATATACAGTGGTATCTGCAAATAAAGACCCTTGGACTTCTCTTCTATTTGTATGCCCTTGATCTCCTTCAGCTGTCTTACTGCTCTAGCTAAGACTCCAAATACTGTATTGACTAGATATGGAAAGAGTGGACAGCCTTGTCTTGTTCTTGATTTTAGTGGAAATGCTTCAAGTTTCTCTATTTAGGTTGATGTTGGTTGTGGGCTTGCTGTAAATTGCTTTTGTTATGTTGAGGTATGTCCCTTGTATCTCTTGTCTCTCCAGGACTTTTACTATAAAGGGATGTTGGAGTTTGTCCAAAGGTCCTTTCTGCATCTAATGAGATGATCATGTGGTTTTTGTCTTTCAGTCTGTTTATATGGTAGATTACATTTATGAATTTACTTATATTGAACTATCCCTGCATCTCTGAGATGAAACCTACTTGATCATGGTAGATAATCTTTTTCATGTATTCTTGGATCTGGTTTGCAATTACTTTACTGAAAATTTTTGCATCTCTAATCAGAAGGGATTTTCTTTCTGTTGGGTCTTTGTGTGGCTTGGGTGTCAGGGTAATTGTGGCTTCCTAAAAAGAATTAGGCAGCCAGGTGTGGTGACACATGCCTTTCAGCCCAGCACTCAGGAGGCAGAGGCAGGCCTATCTCTGAGTGTGAGGCCAGCCTGGTCTACAAAGCAAGGTCTAAGACAGCCAGGGCTACACAGAAAAATCCTGTTTTTTAAAAAAAAGAACTAAGCAATGTTTCTTCACCTTCTATCTTGTGGAATAATTTGAGGACTGTTCTTCACTGAAGGTTTGGTAGAATTCTACACTAAATCCATCTGGGCCTGAGCCTTCTTTGATTGGGAGACTTATATTTACTGCTTCTATTTTAGGGGTCGTGGGTCTGTTTAAATTGCTTCTATGTTCTTGATTTAGCTTTGGCAGGTCATATATATCAAGATATTTATCCATTTCTTCTAGGTTTTCCAGTGTGGTGGAAAACAGATTTTTTTTTTTTTTTAATATTTATTTATTATGTATACAGTGTTCTGCCTGCATGCGTCCCTGCAGGACAGAAGAGGGCACCAGATCTCATTACAGCTTGTGAGCCACCATGTGGTTGCTGGGAATTGAACCTGGGTCCTTTGGAAGAACAGCCAGTGCTCTTAACTGCTGAGCCATCTCTCCAGCCCCAGATTATTTTTAAAGTATGTCTTTATGATTTTCTGGATTACCTTGGTGTCTGTTGTGATGCCCCCCCTTTTCATCTCTAATTTTATTAATCTGGATCCTCTCTCTCCATCTTTTAGATAATTTGGCCACAGTTTTTTTGTTTTGTTTGTTTTTTCTTAAAGAATCAATTCTTTGTTTCATTGGTTCTTTGTATTATTTTTGCAGTTGTTTGTTTCTATTTTGTTGATTTCAGCCCTGAATTTCTTTTTAATTTTAAATTATTTCTTTAATTTTTTTTTAAAAAATTATTTCTTGCAGTCCACTTTTTTAGGGTGTTAGTTCTTCTTTTTGTTCTAAAACCTTCAGGTGTTTTGCTAATTTGCTAATATGAGATTCTTCCTTTTTTCTTTTCTTTCTTTCTTTTTTTTTTTTTTTTATGTAGACACTTGACACTATGGACTTACCTCTTAGAACTGCCTTCATTGTGTTCCATAGGGTTAGCTAATTTGTGTTTTCATTTTCATTCAGTTCTAAAAATTAAAGTTTTTAATTTCAATTTCCTTCTTCTTTTCTATCTTGACCCATTTTTCATTCAGTAGTGAGTTGTTCGGTTTCCATGTGTTTGTATGTTCTCTGTTGTCGATACCCAGTTTTCATCCATGATGGTCAGATGGGATGCAGGGGTTATTTCAGATAAATCTTGAGACTTACTTTGTTTCCACATATGCAGTCAGCTCCGAGCTGCTACAAAGGTATATTCTCTTATGTTTGGGTGAAATGTTTGGTAAATATCTGCTCGGTCCATTTCACTTGTAACGTTAACGCCAGCATTTCTCTGTTTAGATTTTGTCTGGATGACCTGTCTATTGGTGAGAGTGGGGTATTGAAGTCTCCCACTATCACTGTGTGAGAGTCAGTATGGGATTTTACCTGGGTTTTTTTTTGTTTTTGTTTTTTTTTTAGTGAACTTGGGTGCCCTTGTGTTTGTTGCATAAATGTTTAAGATTCCAGTACCCTCTTTGTGGATCTTCCATTTGATGACTTTCTAGTGTCCTTTCCCATCCGTACTGATTAGTTTTGGTTTGAAATCTCTTTTGTCAGATGCTAAAATGGCTATACCTGCTTTCTTCTTGAATCCATTTGCTTAGAATACCTTTTTCTGCCCTTTTACCCTAAGGTGATGTCCATCCTTGGTGGTGTAGTGTTTCTTGGATGCAGCAGAAGGGTGTGTCGTGTTTTCCCATTCATTTTGTTTGTCTATGTCTTTTTACTGGGGAATTGAGACCAATGATATTAAGATTTACCCATGAGCAGAATTAATTTACTGATTCCTGTTGTTTGTTTGTTTGTTTGTTTGTTTGTTATGATATGAGGATTGACTCCTTTGATTGACTGGTCTGGGCTTGTTTATTCCATGTGTGGTTAACCTCTTCAGACTGAAGTTTTCCTTCTGGTGCCTTCTGTGCTAGGTAGATACTACTTAAATTTAGTTTTATTGTGGAATATTTTACTTTATCCATCTATGGTAATTGATAGTTTTGCTGGGTATAGTAATCTGGGCTGGCGTCTGTGGTCTCTAAGAGTTTGTAGAATATCCATTCAGGCCCTTCTGGCTTTTAGAGTCTTCATTGACAAGTCAGGTGTTACTCGAATGGGTCTGCCCTTATATGTTGCTTTGTCTTTCTCTTGAAATTTTTTAGGGTTTTTTTTTTGTTGTTTAATTTTTTTTTTTTAGATTCAACATTTTCCTTGAAGTATCTGTTTCTTCTACCTTGTTTTCAGGGCCTGAGAGATTCTCTATTCCATTTCTTGTACTCTTGGTGAGGCTTATCTCTGATGTTTTTGTTTGACTTCCTAAATTTTCATTTCCAGTTTTTCTCCCCCCCCCCACCCCCCTCGGAAGCTGAGGACCGAACCCAGAGCCACCACTGAGCTAAGTTCCCAACCCCCATTTCCAGTTTTTCAGATTGAGTTTTCTTAAATTTTTGGTTGTGAGCCTAGCCTTTAATGGCTGAGTCATCTCTCCAGCCCAAGATTGGTTTTTCTTTAGTGATTCTATTTCAACTTTCATATCTTGAACTGTTTTCATTATTTCTTTCCATGGTTTCTTTGTGTTTTCTCAGACTTCATTAAAATATTTATTCATATTCTCTTGAGTTTTCTCTTGAAGGTCCTTGAACATATTCATATTGCTGTCTTGAAGTCCTTGTCTTGTGTTTCAGCTGTCTTGTCTCTCTCAGGGCCTCCTGTAGTAGGGTTACTGGGTTCTGGTGCAGGCATTTTGTCCTGGCTCTCCATGTTTATCTTTTTGTGCTGGTGTCTAGGCACCTGGAGTTATGATGGTTGACATCATTCTAGGTGCTGCTGTCTGTTTTGTCTTTGTTGGGTGGGTGTTCCATTCCTTGGCTTCTGTTGCCCTCTCTGGATCTTAGGAAAGTGGTGTGGCTATGGATTCCCTGGTAGAGGGTGCTTAGGAGAAAAGGCTGAGAGGAACTATGGGAAAGAGCTAGGGCATGCTCTGCACACTAAGAGGCAGGGTCCCCAGGGAGTTGGAGGTGTGGTGGAGGAGGGGCTTTTGCAAGCAGGCTGCTGCAGGGTTTGAGGGTAAGAATGGAAAGATTGTAAAGGCGGGCAAGGAAGATAGTGGAACAGGTGTGGCCCCGAGGTTCCTGGGAGATGTTTCTAGGTATCTGCAGCTGATAAAGGATTGGAGATAGGCTAAAAGGGAAAGCTGACTGGATCGGCAGGAAAGAGCTAAGCTGGGTTCTGACTTAAGTGAGGTCCTCAGAGAATGGGGTGGGGGGCAGGGGAGCCCTTGCAGGCATGCTACTGGAGGGCTTCAGATGAGATCATAATAGAGACCAGAAAGGAGAGAGAGACTGAAAGTCAACATCCCCCCAACTAAATAATAAGACCTGATAACTGCTGACTGTCACAAGACTTTGTGGTGGGCCTGCAGGCCAGCTGAAGGATTGTGGGAATGGTTCCCACATGGTGTCCTGTCATCCCTAATCAGCACTCTCTTGCAGTCCTGCATTTGTATCAAAGTTGTACAAAATCTGCTGGGCGTCCTTTTGTGTTTTCTTAGAATCAGGTGTTCCCATGTGCCAGGGGGAGCTGAGGCACTGGAAGACTGGTCACTACACTTTAGTCCACGACAACAGCAAGACTGAATTTGCCTTGGACCTGTTTCTCTACTGTGGCTGTGAAGGTAGGAAGGAGCAAGGCAAAGAGTTGTCTCCTTAGTTCAGGCAGGCTCTCCAGGGGGACTCTCTTCAGCTGATCCAACTCCTAAGTACTTTTCTGTGGCCATGCTCTCACAGTTCTAAAGGATGTTGGGGGTCATGACTTTCAGTGTCCCCAAAATCAGATTTATATCTGGGTGTGGAAAGGTAGACCATACCTTATTTTTTCCCCTAAATCTCCAGCACAACCATGGAGTCTATAATTTTTTAATATAATTGCCCTTCCAGTATATCTAACATTTAATTCCTTTAATTTTCTTATTCAATGTTACTTAGTAAGCCTGTGTTCCCAAGTTCAGCTGTCTGGGAAATGAGGCGTGTAAAGGAAAGGGAGTCCACAACGGCAGATGCTGGACACCAATACAGAAGTCCCAGAGCCCTTGCTGTTCAGCATGCAGTGCGCTTGCAGTGTGAGCTCAGTGCTGTTTGTCTTTCCCTTGTCAGGCTGGGAGCCAGAGTATGGCGGCTTTACTTCCTACATCGCCAAAGGTGAAGATGAAGAGGTAGGTGACTCCCTTCTCCCAGCAAGTTCTCCTTTCTAGCTCGTGAAAAAGTTCTGTTCTTAAGACACCTGATGATTTATTTACTTAATGGTTTTCATTTTGTTTTTGGTTTTGTTTTTGAGGCAGGGTCTGACTATATGGCCCAGGCTGTCCTAGAACTCACTAGCTCACCCAGGCTGGCTTCATACTTTCCACAACAATATGCCTGCCTCCACCAAGTAAGTGCTGAGATTACAGGTGTGAGCCACCATGGCTGGCAAGAAATACAGAATTTATTACCTCAGCCAGTGTTTTTAGCTGGGATAAATCCACATTGGCCTGCCTTGTGGCTCTAATTTTAAAAAAAAAATACTCAGCTTGCAGTAAAGCTTTGAAAGGAAAATCACCAAGTATTGTACCTTACTGACAACCTATGAGTTAAGAGACTCATGCCCACTCATCTTTCTAGATAGTTGGGGAAAAATGCATTAGGCAAAACCTCTTCTGAGTGTTGCTAGTGAGGCAGAGCCTGTTGGAAAATGTCTTGAGAGAGAAAAGCTCATCTCCTAATGAAGGAGCTTTAAAAGGCTGCCTCATCCCCAGCTTAAATCCTTGCCATGGAAACTACCTGTGGTGAATCGTTGCAGAGCTGAGAATGAGCTCTGCATTCTGATGTGTCTCATGTTTCCTGTTTCAGCTGCTCATAGTGAATCCAGAAAACAATTCTCTGGCATTGGTCTACAGAGATAGAGAAACTCTGAAATTTGTGAAGCACATTAACCACCGAAGCCTAGAGCAACAGAAAACCTTCCCAAACAGAAGTGGTTTCTGGGACTTTGCATTCGTCTATTATGAGTAACAGGATTGGGCAAAGCCAACAGCATTCATCAGTGCTGGGAAACCTGGGGTCTTCTTGGAGTGCAGGAAAGAAAGCATGCAGACTAACAGGGTCCTCCAACAGGCTATCTTCACTGGCTGTGCTGCTGCATACCTGTAATGCAGCCTTGGGGGGCAGAGAAAGGAGGACCTCCAGTTCAAGGTCAGTATGGTCTATACAGTGAGACCCCAAAACAAAACAAATCTTGGTTGTCCCATTTATGGAATTCATGATTGTCCTCAACCTAGACATCGGCCACCAGCTATGTACTTATCCCTTGGTTGTTTCGTTTTGTTTTTTAAGTTCCCGCCCCCATAGAACCTCCTTTGGTTCTATGGTGACTGCCTCAGCAACTTCTAACTTTGGTGATTTTTTTTTTAATTGTGGTAAAATATATATAACATAAAATTTAGCAGGATAACTTTTTTATTTTTTGGTTTGAGGTTTTTTGTTTTGTTTTGTTTTGTTTTCTTTTGACAGGGTTTTACTATATAGCCCAGGCTAGCTCTTAACTACTGATCCTTCCACCCCAACCTCCAAGTGCTGGAATTATAGGCATGAGCTACCAGGGCCACCAGTTCTTGTATGTATGTATATACATCTGTGGAACTGAGCACACTGACAGTGCTCCAGAGCATCCATCACTGCCATCCGTATCCAAATGTTTTCTGTCTCCCCAAAGTGTAATTCCGTGCCCTTTGAATAGTCAGTCTCACTGGCTACTGCCTCTTCTCTATTAATTTGACTCTGCCTCTTAAGTGAATCAAACAGTATTTATCCCTTTATACTTGGCTTGTTTCACTTAGCACAGAGCCCTCAAGGTTTATCAGCGTTCCCAGTGACTTCTTTTTCACTCATATGTGGTTGTAGAAATGTGTGTAACCCTGTTCATGTTGAGCCTGAGCTCTGTGGCCCACTTTCAGTCATTACACTGCTCCCCACTGTGGGCTGAGTTCCACCCTGACTCTCAGGTTGTAGACTCGGATGGGTAGTGGGGCTTGGGAAAGATGTGGCTGAAAACTAGCTTAGCCCTGGGAATTATGTGGCTGAGAAAGAGGACAGGCTGCTTACTGCCCCACTTATTTACTCTCAAGTGTCTACTGCAGCGGATCGCGACCCTTTCACAGAGGTCACATATCAGATATCCTGCATATCACATATTTACATTACAATTTGTAACAGTAGCAAAATTACAGTTATGAAGTAGCAACGAAAATAACTTCATGGTTGGGGGTTGCCACAACATGAGGACTGTGTTAAGGGGTTACAGCACTAGGAAGGTTGAGAAGCACTGGTCTACTGCCTTCCAGACCTGGAGCTGTGACTTCTGTGAGTCTAGCCTCGCAGTGACTGTTCCTACATGCTGCCGGGCCAGGTGTAGCTTGTTGCCTTTTCCTTCCCTTTGAAAGGCTAGCTCTAAGAGGCTGAGTCAGAATTACAAGAAGCCTTCATTTCCTTCCATTCTTTCTCCTGCTCTGCTCCATGGGGCTGTGACACAGCTCTTCCCACTGCGGGGTACGCACGATGGCTGCCAGATGTTCTCGCCCCACCCCACCCGGTGTCTGTTTGCTGCTTTCTCCATTTCTGACTATCCTTGCAGGTTCAGTGTGGACTTTACTTATTAATAGGAAAAGCACTGGACCTTTAAATTTCTCCTTCACACTTCTCTTTCATGTCTTAAAACTCCATCCAAATACCATCTTATTGGGATTATATTGCTAGCAATCCATGGAGTCTGCTTAATGATCAAAGGAATTTATTTGGGGGTTAACTCACAAGACAGAATAGAGGAATTTGTCGCAGGATCCTGGAAGGGTGAGGCACGGTCCAATGCTGTTCTCTGAAGAACTTTGCCCTGGTCCGTCCCAGCATCCAAAACCATGAGGTAGTGAAGAGAGAGCCAAGTACATGCATCCCAGGTCTTAAGGGTAACACACAGACACACACACACACACACACACAGCGGCCATGCCCCAGAGGCATGTACCTCAAGGTCATAGGCAGGTGTACCAGTTACCTGCCACCTCACTAGGGGCGGTGCTTCAGGGCATGGCTCAAACAGCTCCCACTACATCATCTGTCTTTTACATTGATGGGCTTCAGTTTGTTTTCTTTGCCCCATTGAGTAAAACACATTTAACACTCATAGCTTAATGGATACTTATAAGTTTTAGGTGTTCTGATATTAATCATAAAACAAAGTAATTTTTAAATAATGAGATGAGAATATCCAGACAACTTTATTGGACCAGGAGGTGGAGGCAAGAACATCAAGAAGTCAAGACTATCCTCAGCTACACAGTGAGTTCAAGGCCAATCTGGGCAATAGTAGACTTTATCTCAAAAACAAAGAGCTGGGAGTGGTGGCCCATGTCTTTATCCCAGCACTTGGGAGGCAGAGGCAGGCAGATCTCTGAGTTTGAGGCTAGCCTGGTCTACAGAGTGAGTTCCTGGACAGCTAGGGCTACATAGCAAGTCCTGTTTCAAAAAAACAAAACCAAAGACTATCCAGATCTAGTTTCTCAGGCCAGAGGTGATAGGCATTATCCATGTATACTGTGTTGGACTCCACAGCATTATAAACCACATCATGCTCAAGCAGGACTATGAATACTTTGTTGCTACAGGTTAATTCTGAAGCTTACCCTTTCTGAATTGCTCCAGACTAAAGGCAGGCGCTCTCTCTGTCCCCCCCTCCCCCAAATCTCTGTCTCTGTCCGAGGTGCTGGGACTCAGACCCAGAGCTTGCTATATACATACCTCCAGTCATTCTTGTTTTTGTTTTTTCCTGAACTGGGTACTCAACTCTGCAGGCCAGGCTGACCTTAAACTCAAGGTCCTCCTGCCTCAGGCTCCTACATGGCAGGATTACAGTGCTATACTACTACATCCAACTCCTTAGTTTTTGGTGTGTTCTCATGAGTGGGGGCAGAAAGAATGAGTTTAGATAACATTTTGTCAGTGGATTAACTCCAGGAAGACCCAGGGAAAAGTGCTAGATAATGAAAGCATTCTGGGAGCCAAAGCATGTATCTCTTAGCATTATTCAATACCACCCAGCTTTTCCTGTTCTGGAGACCTGTGGCTGAATCTTAAACTCTCACTTCATCCTCATATGCTTATGGTCTGTCAGCACAACAGGACCTTTACAAGACTGAGTTGAAATGCCTGAACAGAAAGAATCCTGAAGGGTCCCTCTGTCTTTGCAGAGCCTCCTGGCCTGCAAGAACACTAGGACCTGCAGGTTGCTTCTTTTCATTTGTCACGTGCCACGTTATTGATGTGGTAAGACCCTAAGTCTACAGTGGAGCTGAAAGATTCCTATACTCCAAATCGTGCATGGTCATGGTGATGAACAGGCCACCTGTGCTGCTGCTGCATGAGAGGACAGCGCATGCAGCTGTGCACGGAACGGTTGATAGCAGGCCGCCCCTGTGTGTGCCCACCACACACTAGCTGCTCAGGGTGCACTGCTGTTAAGGCGCTAACTCCCACGTGGCTTCAGGCAGGGCCTTCAGGGGTATTCCAGAGGAAGGCATGGCTCTGGGGGCTGACGTTTCTGTGGGCATTACTTCCCCTAAAGACCACAGTAGAACAAGGGAAAGGCAGTGATGATGATGATGCCAATCCTAAGTGTGAGGGCCTGAGCCAGTATGCGTGTGTCTTAGTTTTTAACAAAAATTTCAGAAAGTTTTTAAAAAAATTTGAAAATAACTTGAAGGAAATATTTTTGTACAGTTATACAATGTGAAGTGTTGTTATAAGTCAAAGTTATAAAAATTATAGTTTAAAATAAAGAAGTTCTATTACGTAAACTAAGGCTATTGAATATAGAGTATTTTTAACATGTACACGTTGGAAGCCTGAAAGCTTCCGCCTTGTTTGTTCAAGTACACAGTCGTATTTGCACAATGAACTTGCTCACCTCATGAACTCTGCTCCATTCTTGATCCTAACTGATTGCTGCTTTGGGCAGAGGGCAAAAGAGGAATGTGGACTCTTAGCACCTCCTCTTGATCAAAGCTATGCTGTTTTTGTGTGACAATGGCATGTCTCTTTTAGTTCTTAATAGTGAGCCTCTAATTCCTTTTATTTTGCTTTCTTATTTATTGGTGTTTTGAGAAGGGTCTCTTTGTATACCCTATCCCCCAACTGCTAATATTACAGAAGTACACCTCTGTGTCCAGCTGTGAACTTCCAGTTCTTGTAACTCCTTTTCCTCAAGGTGGACTTCCCTCCAAAGATAACCGCTTTCTATCTTTTCAGATTATATAAATATGCATGTTCATTGTTGAGAAATTCAAACTATGTTGAAAAACACAATAGTCAGCTGCAGTCTCGTCCTGTGAAACCAGAGTGTGTCAATGTGTCCACCCTGCACTGTTAGGAAGCATGGCTCTTCTTTGTCCTCTCTTCCCTTTCTTCTGGGGCAGAGACAAATACTAGGTCCTGGGGCAGCCTTGCAGGCAGGGCTCCGAACGAGTGATAAAGGCCACCACTCCATACAAGAATGAAAGAGTTGCCTGAGTGGTTCCTTAAGCAAGTCTCTCAGGTCCTTATGAATGAAAAGCTGCAGCCAGTGATGCCTTTGGAGATCTGTATTCCAGCTAATGCTACCCCAACTGACAGACCACCTTGAAATTTGTTTTTCCTTAATATAAATTTGTTTACACACACCTTTGGATGATTAAAAATTTGAATGTCTGTATTTTTGTTTTTCCCCACAAAATAAAGATGTTTTGTGCATTTCTGTTATGGTGGTAATTTATAATCAACAACAAGGACCAGTATCTTTTATTTTTAATGAAAAAGTAAATACTTCATTTCAAATTTTAAAATTCACTTACAATTTCAATGGGGAAGGAGATAAACTCATACACTAACTTTATATAAGAACAAGCTAAACTCTGACAGCCTGGTATTTTAAGGTATTCACACTATTGCATACAAATCAGCAACTGTACTACAGATGTCAAAAGAAAGGAGATCGACTGTCAGATGGAACACCTGCCTTTCGTTATAAGTCACCACGGTTTTCATTCTTAGCAGCCTGGACTCACCAGGATGAGACTGGGAGCAAATTGGCCTGGATTTCTAGACATAAACCTCTTCAGGAGCTTCCTTCCTCGGTCTTGCTCTCCTATGAAGGAGCAGTCCCCACCCGCATGATTCTGAAGAGTGTGTTGATATTGTTGCTTCGAATGGCATCCCGACAAGCATTGATCACCTGGTTCTTCGGCTTTCCAACTGTGTAAAAAAAAAATCTAGTCAGTGCGTCCCAAAAGGGAAGTTAAAAGTTAAGCCAGGCATAGTGGCTCATACCTTTCATCCTGAGAGCTATGATTCATCTCTGCAGACTTGCTTTGATTCTGGCTTGAGATGATCTCAGTTCTCTAAATTCTGTCTTTTCTAGGAGGTAACAAGTTAGTAACTCGTGTAACTCTTTTCTACCTTGGTTTTATGCTGTTTTCAAACTGTCCTTTAATTTCTTTCTTTCTTTTTTTCTTCCCCAGTTGAGACAGGGTCTCACTATGTAGCTCTGGCTGTCCTGGAACTCGATCTGTAGACCAGGCTGGCCTCGAACTCACAGAGATCCACCTGCCTCTGCCTCCTGAGTGCTGGGATTAAAGGTGTGCACCACTACTGCCCGGCTTGGCTCCTATTTTTGACTTTTAAGAAATACATTGTAATCAATATGAGAGCCCCCACTGTTCCCCTTTATGCTTCCCCAAATACATTTCCCATCCCTTACATAATCTTATTCTAGTCATAGAGTTCAGCATTTTTGCAAGCTTAACTAAATATCGAACTAGACACATCCTGCTCTCACATGTCAGCTGGCAGCTACTTGTGGTTACAATGTTAAAAATTAATAGACATGGGCACAATGCTTTAAGGACAACAATATTTAAACCCAGACAATTCTTTCATGTCTGCAAGATATGTTTTTACACAGCTCCTGTTTCTACAAGAGGGTCCCATGTCTCAATCCCTCTGTAAAAGGCAGACTTTGATAAAGCACTCTTTCCCATCCTACTATACCATACCAATATAAGCTCCTGTGTATGGTAAAGATGGATCTCTCCATCCCAAATTTCACGTTACATTTTCCCCATTGGATCATACTAGATCCTATCATTGACTCCATATGCTTGGTGCCCAGGGAACTTTCTCTCAACAGTTGGCACTATGTGTATTCCTGAGGCTTTTTCCTTATTCTGTGTATGCAAGCCTTACTCTCCTTTCCAGAACTGTGAGACATGGTTAATGGTTCAAGTGTTGTTTTCTCACATGTACCTAATTATCTCTGTTGAGTCTGAAAAGTCCCCAGGATTGGGAGTTGTAGTTAGTAATTCCAGATAAGAGACTTGAGAAGCGATAGTCCCCTGCTGAATCTTAGGAGAAAATATTTGAGAAAGAACAGAATTTCCCGGGAAAATTACAGTTATTGCATGTGTGACCGACACAGTAAAACTAAAAACCACCCAAAAGAATCACCAATATAATGAGAGAAAAGAGCCTGCAAGCTGCATGGATTTTACAAATTCCTACGCTGTCCCGTGGACTACTGAGCCTTGCCACTTGAGAGTCCGTTTCCACGGGTGCTTTGCCCCAGGAAACCCACTACACGGGTAGTTCTTACCTGACCCCACACTAGGCTCTATGGCTCCCGTCAATGAACACTAACTTTTCCTTTAGAACAATGGATCTCAACCTTCCTAATGCTGCGCTCTTTTAAACAGTTCCTCATGCTGTGGTGAGCCCCAACCATAAAATTATGATTTGCTACTTCATAACTGTAATTTTGCTACTGCTATGAATCGTAATGTAAATATCTGATATGCAGTCCCTGTGAAAGGGTCGAAGGGGTTGCCACCCACATGTTGGGAACCACAACTTTAGCAGCTACAGCAAGACCTTAGAAAAGGAATTTAGGGCTTGATTTCATTTGGTTTCATTTTCTTTTTTTGTTTTTTGAGACAGGGTTTCTCTGTGTAACAGCTCTGGCTGTCCTGAACTCGCTTCGTAGACCAGGCTGGCCTGGAACTCACAAGAGATCTGCCTGCTTCTACCTCCCAAGTGCTGGAATTAAAGGTGTGCCCCACAAGACTTTATTTCTTTAAAAAAAAAAAAAATCTGTCTGGACAAAACTAAATCCCTGGGTCTGAGTGAGGGAAGCCCAGATGCAACCAGTTACGGGGTGTTGAAGGCAGGCTGCTTTAGGACCCACTGTGAGTTTCTATAATGCAGCCACAGCCTCCATATACTCATCTTTGAAAACAAAGTGGACAAATCACGGTGCCAGGGAAAGACTCACCACGGAGACGGCCTGCTCTTTGGATCGCTTGGTTCACTGCCTTCAGGTTTCCTAGCAGTTCTGTGTGGTTGTTACATCGAATCTTATAGCCGTTTAGCAAATCTTTATTAAGGTCATAGAGTTCCATATAACGATTCTTCATTGTTTTCCTGTGTAAATCAACAGACACCTACCATTAACATTTAGCAGACTTTTTAGTCACATTAAAAAGGAAACAGCTAGGCATGATGACACTCATCTGTTAATCCCAGCATTTGCCAGGCCAAGGCAAGAGGATTATAAATTCAAAGCCAGCCTGGGCCACCAATTAGATGCTGTCTCAAAAGAAGAGAAGGAAGGAAAAATACATTTTTAGTTGTATCTTCATAGAATAATTACTGAGGTTTGCTTTGAAAACATCCAAAAGTTTCCATCAAAATAGCCTTTTTTGCCAGGTGGTGGTGGCACACGCCTTTAATCCCAGCACTCGGGAGGCAGAGGCAGGCAGATCACTGTGAGTTCAAGGTCAGCCTGGTCTACAGAGTGAGTTCCAGGAAAGGCACAGAGCTACACAGAGAAACCCTGTCTAAAAAAAAAAAAAAAAGCCTTTTTCTTCCAGATAAATAGAAAACAAGTGAGCTTTCTGAGTAATTGGGCTATGATTTGTTTAGATTTAGAAGCTTATCCCTGCTTGGCTGGTATTCTTTAAGTTTCAAATTAGTAATTTATTAGATAAAGAGGCTTATTAATAAAATATTTCTAGAGAACAGACTCAGCTTCATATTTTATAAAGTTTAAAAAAAAATGGGCCAGAGAGATGATTCGGTGGATAAGGGTCCTTGCTACCAAGCCTGATAATTTGAGTTCAATCCCCAGAACCCACAAGAAACAGCTCTTGCAAGTTGTCCTCTGACCTCTACACAATGCACAGTAGCATGCGCACACACAAAGTAACTGAATGTAAAAGAAAATTTTAAAACACACAAAATAATCCTAAACACAATGAAAATGATTTAAGTAAAAATGCTGAACTGAAACTCATGAGTGATGAATACAAAATGGTACTTTCTCTGCAAATGTGGCAGCTTCTTATATGCAGCTTTAGTTTTCTGTTTATGGAAAAAACCTCTTAGTTCTTTTTCTAATCTTGCTACATACTTACTATATAAACCAGCAGTCTTATTCCAAGAGAAGTAAAAATGCATGTCTAAACCAGGTGGAGGTGGTGCACCCTTAATCCTAGCAGAGACAGGTGGATCTCTGAGGTCAAGGCCAGCCTGGTCTACAGAGTGAGTTCCAGAGCTACACAGTGAAACCCTGTCTTGGGGGAAAAAAAAGGCATGTCTATAAAAACCCTGTATGTAGGGCCGGGCGGTGGTGGCGCACGCCTTTAATCCCAGCACTCGGGAGGCAGAGCCAGGCGGATCTCTGTGAGTTCGAGGCCAGCCTGGGCTACCAAGTGAGTCCCAGGAAAGGCGCAAAGCTACACAGAGAAACCCTGTCTCGAAAAACCAAAAAAAAAAAAAAAAAAAACCCTGTATGAAAATGTAACCACCAAAGTTAGGGAACACAGATATCCACCCCCTGGTGAAGGGATAAACTGACCACCACATGTCTCTGTGTGGCACAGTAGTCAGCAATAAAGAAGGAAAAAAACTGCTGACACATGCAACAACATGGATAAACCTCAAAGGCACAATGGTGAGGGAAAAAAAGCCCAACTTAAAAGGTTACATGGTATGAGGAAAGGATAAAACTGCAGGGTAAGAAATGGACCCTGGGGACCAGGAAGGAAAAAGTATCGAAACAGAAGCCCGAAGGAATAAACATCCTGCACTCTGATTTTAGCAGTAATCAGGGAAGTTTCTGTGAACTGACTTCTATATGCATATTACAAGTTATATATCAACTATATTTACATAAATTAAAATGCACATGCATGTGTGTGAGTGTGTGTATGGGTGTGAGAGAGACAGAGACAGAGAAAGACAGAGAGATAGAGTCTGCAAGGGAGGCACAAATGATTCTGAGAACATGGAGGCTTGTGGTCACTTCATTCCTCCAGAACCTCACCTGTGCAAAACCAAATGCTAAGGATATCAGTGCCAGAGAAACAAAATCGTGAGCTAGAGACCAGAAGTAGTTGGCTTTCAAAAGCAAAACTCTACTTCCATTTACAGGACACATCTGGAAATTCTTTTTTCTGTTTGTTTTTGTTTTTCAAGACAGGGTTTTCTCTGTGTATCCCTGGCTGTCCTGGAACTTGCTCTGTAGATCAGGCTGGCCTCAAACTCAGTCCACCTGCCTCTGCCTCCTGAATTAAAGGTGTGCACTACCACACCTGGTCACATCTGGAAATTCTTAAGTAGCATTTTATAGAATAAATTGTTCATTAACACAGAAACTATAATTACAGAAAATGCAATGTAAAACAAAGCTACTATTTATA